TAGTAATATATTCACAACGTATTATAAAGTGAGGTTATAAAAACTTTCAACTTTCTACGGCGAATTCAACACAAATTAACCAATATTTTAATGTGGGTTTTACATACCTTTTTAATTTACCGTTGCAAACCTTTTAGCGTTTTCTGTATCTAAACTATTGCAAAGCTTTGGGTTGTAATCGCCAGCGATTCTTATAGTACTGATGCACCTTTGTCTTTTCTCTGGATTGAGCTCGATCGCTACACCAACGCTGCCAACATCACTCGACGTTGGCTCTTATTGGCTACAACGTTCCCAGATGCGTGACAGGAACCAATATATTGGTTTCAATAATTTTTTACTCGATTTGTAAAAACTGTCTTGAAAAATTGGAAGAGATAGAAATTGTTTATTTTGTTCCCATACAGCTGTAAGAATTTTTTCCAAATGTTGTATTAACTTTTTTATACTTCAAGAAAATGCAAGAAAACGCAATACTAAAAAGTTAATACAAAATTGTAAAAAAATTCTTACAGCTGTATGAGAAGAAAATAAACAATTTGTATCTCTTTCAATTTTTCAAATAGTTTTTAGAATTCGAGTAAAAAATTTTAGAAACCAATAATTTTGTACATATTTCCGAAAAAATATCTTAGAAAATGGAAGTCGTATAAAAAAATGTTTCAAACAAAAATTGTTTATTTCTTTACGTAGAATAAAATTCCGTAATGAAAAATAAATGTTTCTATTAAAAAAACCAAAGTTGACCTTGTCCTGACCTTTGAGACACCATCCAAGCTCAAACTGATAAGAGCAGTAAATATATCTTTTAAAACCCAACAACTTTTGTTTTGAAAGTTTTATCGAAAAACCTCACTGTAAAAAGATATTCAGGGGTTCCCATATTTTGAAGACACCCTGTATACATAAATGAAAGGTGTTTCGCGTAATATATATTCAACATTGCAGCAATATCTTGTAATCAATGTTGAATAATCAACATACATTCCATCTAGAAAAAACATCCTCACTTCTACTTTCAACATTGCAACGTCTCATCAAGGTTTTTTCAACTTTCTGTGCTGTATGGGTATACGATTAAATTTTTTTATTTTGAAAACTAAGCCGTTTAGAACACATGTTTATATGAACTTTTTTACTTGAAATAAACCAAAAAATTGCTCTGTTGAGTATGGAAACATACTTAACTAACACCCTGTATATACAGGGTGTCCCGCGTAAGACGTGCCAAAGGAAAAATATAAGTAAAACAGATAAAAATAAACAAAAATTGCAGAGGTGATTTTTCAAACAACTACGTAAAATTTCGAGATATTAATTAAAATAGTTGGGCATATCAGCGCGGCGACGTAGCAGGCGGTCCATGAGTCGTCATCGGGTAAGAGTCGGCAAATCGTACATAGGGGAATATCTAAAAATTCTTGTGTATTAAACAAATTATAATAATGTTCAAAATCTTTGAGAAAAGATAATTATAGTTTGTGCAAATTTATATCCAAATAGCATAATAGCTGCTACGCACAGTAAAAAAAGCAGGATTTTATGTTGCAGAAGGAGATAAGCAATTTTGAACATTTGCTTCTATAAGTTAGAGATTTTCTATTGTTTTACTATTGTTGTTTATAAAAGTAATATTTATGATATTGCATTGAATTAATCTTAAAATCTTCTATAATATTATGTAAAAAAAGTGTATGGTGCTATTTAAAAAATTTATGGTAATCCTGATTCCTTCATAAAAAAATATTTTTTTGCTTTTTTTATTGCAAGTGGTATCCTGAAGTTGTACCTATGAAGTTGAAAATTTACCTTGCAACCTTTTCCTTAAACTATCGGAAATGTCAAAAAAATGCCGATACTTACACTGAACTCTATATATTAACTGAATTCTCAAATATGAGAAGTAAGGAATTGAATAATAATTGACTTAGATGACATTCGAAAAAAACATCATTTTTGAGAAAAAATTTATTGAAAATAAATAGTTTACGTTACATATATTTTCAATAGAATTTCCTTCAAAACGAAAAAAAACGTTTTAAAACTCAATCTTAAATAACATAATTTAATTATGTATGAATAATTTTATTAATTTTATGTAAAAAACCATTTGCAAAATTGTCTTTTTACGTGATGACAAAATCTGCTAGAAACAATATTCAATAGATAGGATAACCGAATATAATGTAGAGAACATAATGTAAAATATATTGGAAACTTTACAGATCGGTATTACTAAAATCGTAATATAAATTATGCGCGTGAAAATTCTGAATAAATCGTGTAGGTCAATATATTACAATTTATATTATGAGAAAACATTAATAAAACATTATTTTATATTTAGATAATAAAATACACTGTGATGTAAACAAAAGAAAAATAATTACGATTTGTATACGTGCGTGTGAGTATATGTGTGAAAGGTAGCATAGAATTGGAGTAATTCGGTTATCGAAAAATAACCGATATCAAATAAAAGTAGACGTATAAATTCTAATAAATTAGTTGTGGTATATTGAAAGCAGGACATAAAAGCAGACTTATAAATTTTTATAGATTAATTGTATTAGGTGTTCCGGTTAGTTTTGAGGAATTTTGTGTAAAAAAGAAACACGTATATTTTAGAGAGATCTTAAATTATTTTAATCAAAATATTTTCCACCGTTAGCTACAACTTTTTTCCACTTTTTTGGCAACAAGTGGATTCTGCGGTAAAAGAAATATTCGTTTTTCGAAGCAATCCATTCGTCGAGCCATTTCTTTATTACATCATATGTATTGAAGTACAGGTTAGTAAGGCCGTGCTGCATCGATTGAAATAAGTAATAATAATAAGTAATAATAAGTAATAATAATCTGAAAGAACACAATCTGATGAATACGCGGCGTGTGGTAAGATTTTCCATTGAAATTTCAATAACGTATCTTTAACTGCTTTTGCAACGGTCGAGCGATTGCTGTGATCAAGCATTGTCGTGCAACAAAATTACTTTGCATTTTCTTTGAGTTGTTACTGGACGTTTCTAGCTCAAAGCACGATTCAAATCAATTAATTGTCGTTGATAAAGTTTAGCAGAAACTGTTTGATTCGGTTTCAGCAGCTCATAATACACGATGTCCTTCATGTCCCAAATGTATAACAAAACCTTCCTACTTCCATGGATATTGCGTTTTGGAGTCGATGTTGACGGTTGACTTGGATCTACCCACTATCTTTTACGCTTAGAATTATCATAATATATCCATTTTTCATTGCCAATTATAATTTGATATAAAAATTGCTTCTTTTCGCGACGAGAAAGCAATGAAGTGCAAATGGTTAAACGATTCTGAATAATTCGATTCAGACAATTCGTGTGGAAATCATTTGCCTTCTTTTTATATCTTTCCCATTGCGTGTAAATGATCAGAAACGGTTGATTTACCAACATTGAATGTTGTAGCTAATTCTTAAAGTGTTTGAGCTGAGTTTTCATCCAACAATGCCTGCAATTCGGCATCTTCGAACTTTTTTGGTTGATCCGAATGTTCTTTACCTTTCAAATTAAAATCATCACTTTTAAATCGTCGATATCAGTACTCACACGTTTTAACTGATGAAGCAGACTCAGAATAAGTTTCTGGGATAAATCGGTGAGCTTCGGCGGCTATTTTTTTCGAATCAAAGCAATAGATGCCGAAAATGCTTTATCACGTTCCACGTTTAGTCGCACTGAACAGTGTGTTTATATTTACGAATGCATAGGACATGGGTCAATTTGTTTATAGAGATATTCTAGCTTTGACATGACGTACCCATTTTCAAAATGTTTCCAGTAGATTTGTAGCTATAGCCATCTACAGTGAACCCTCAAAACTAATAGTATATTGAAAGCAGGATATAAAAACAGTCTTATAAATTCTGATAAATTAGTTGAGTATTGAAAGCAGAACATAAAAGCAGACTTATAAATTCTAATAGATTAGTTGTCGTATATTGAAAGTAGGACATGTTCTTGGTTAAACAATTAAATGTAGGTTATTTTGAATAATAAAGAAAGATAAATATGCATTTGTAATCACTCTAAATGATAGCGTAAAATTTATAAATATTCTCCGATATTACTATATTTATGATAATTTACTTCTCTTCCTCTTTTTTTTTTCTCTAAAGTATCTTTCTGAACATTAAACATTACTAGTTGTTTCTTCATAGTTAACATGATGATTCAAATTATGGATCATTTAAAGTTAAAGCAATTTCCATTATTTATATAAATTTGTTTATCTAACATTAAAAGGAACTATATATACTAATATAAGCAACAAATATCATACTTTTAAAACAAAATTATTGACTTTAAATTAACTTATTCTAAATAAAAATTATTATAAACGTTTATGCGAAAGTCTCAATCATGAGTCAGCTAATTATTTTTCTTTTTATAACAGATTACACGGTTTTGTATTAATAATACGCATATATATCCATATTGTTTTAATCTATATAAAATAATGGTTCATGTAGCACAGCTTATTAACAGTCTTATAAATCTAAACAGTCGATAAAGCGAATGATATTCTAGATTTTTTCTTAAATGTTAACAATATTTGTAAATATAACTTTAAAATATAAAAAATATAAAAGTACTAAAGAATTAAAAAGAGTGTTTTATACATTTTCATTACAATGTGTATTTTTTCATGCATTAATAAATCAAATTTGACACGAAATTGGAATACAATCCACAATTAGAACCGTTATTTTCTACTAAAAAAAATATTTTGAAGAGGAGAAGTAATATATAAGTAAATTCATCAAGAGTCTGTTTCTTAAGTAGTGTATTATCCAGGAAGGGTAATATACAACGGAAATTTCGACTCGGAATCGACCCGTTGTCATGTTGAAATAGGTTCCGCTGTTGGATCGTTTGGGCGATGATGGGCGGCGATAGGTCGGTGTCTGGAGTACGCGCTCTCGCTCCCAGCGACGCGGAGCGAGTGCCGCGAGACAGCGGCCAGTATCGTGGAAGCGCGCGACCCGTTGCGATCGTGCACCCTTAAACTCCCGTTGTACGCTGCTCGCCAGCACGTATTACCGTGCGTTACATCGGACGTGTATATCACGGAGGAATAGTTTCGAGGATACGCCGATTAAGCTTGACTCTTCAAATTCGGTGAGTTTTTCCACTGCAATTTATCACACATACACACATGTGACGGTCAGGACGTCCTCGAAAACGCGCTTTTGACGTTCGAGGTGATGCAAAATGCAGAGAACGTTAACCAACATCGGCCACAACGCGTTAGAAAACCTCAACCCTGCTGTTAGGCTAGCGTCCATTAGCGCGACGACGCGAAGTCGACGGGAGTAGTTAGTTTTCGAAGATGAAGTTTTATCGCGTTCAGTGAAGAGTGCCGACCTTGCTCGCGCGTAATCGGTATATAAGCCGACGAGAGGCTTACAACGTTTAATGGTGCAATAACAAAGACGCGGGAGAACGGAGACTTTTAATAGCAGTAAGTTTTATGTTGATAGAGACTCTTTCCGATAATTTTTCAACAGCGAAGATGTAAGTATGCTCAGCCGTGTTAAATATTTTTCTGAAAATTGATTTATCCTGTGTGCGAATTTTCTGATATATATGATTTCTGATATATATGATTTTCTTACTTTTTTGGTAAAGCGAGAGACAGGCGAGAAGTAACGGCAGTTATAATTTGCATGATGCCGCCGTAGTATCATTCAATTTATGACGGATACAGCCACTCTGAGATCCAATAGGAGTTTATTCCTTGTCGGGAATTTATAAGATTTAGATCATCTTAATAAATCATGCCGATTTAGTTGATTATTAAATTGCTCGCAACACAACTTCGCCACGTGAATAATGTATAAAAATAAGAATTGCTAGAATTAATTCTAAGGGAACGCAAATTAAGGCAAAATTGAAACCATGAACACGGATTGTGTCAGTACAAATGAAAATTCATAATGATTCTACCAACTACCTTGTAATTAACCCTCACATGTCACACATTTTTTTGGCAATTTAATACAGTACACTGGAATTGTTTTCATTTTTGTTTATTTTAATTCCATAAAAGTGCTAAAAATTGGTGGAAAATTATGAATATATTTTTAAGTTTGTAGAATAGAATTATGTAAAAAAATGATCGCCAAGTTTTACTTAAGTATTTTATTTTATTACAAATGTAAAGAGAAACGTGATTAAACATGAGTTTACACAGAAATGTGTAACATTTCCGAAAGTGAATTAAAAAAATTAATACTCTCTTGTCAATCTTGTGAGTTTTAAAAAAAAACAATATAATACATTTTAAAATCCGTCAACAAATATAATTATTTGAATTTATGAAAATACATTACTTTTTCCAGTTAAGAGGCGAGTAAAATAATTCATAGTTTTAAGATTTTATAATATTAATATAATATATAATAAGATTTTTATTAAAATTATGAACAAAGATTAGTTCACTTGAATTATTTTTTGGTTTGTGATTAGAGTTTAATGATATAAAAACCTTGATCATATATAATAATATAAATAAACAATATAAATAAATAAACAGAAATAAATGTTAAAACATATAATTAAACAGAAATAAATAAGCTGCTTACATACAATTTTTCTTATATATTATAGTTAATGTAAAGAACCCCGAAATATAACGAAAAATCATATTTATGCAATTTCAATACTCTAATGTAGCATTCTGGTATTAGAAACAAAAGAGAGCAACTGTGTTCTTTTTTATATGATAGATAATTAAAATCATTCTTAACAGTGCTTCAACTTAATATTTCCTACAACTATCACTTCTTTTAACATGGAGAGCAAAGGTTCTTATTTTACTAACTTGCGGGAAATTGAAAATTAAAAGTCGGTTAGAGCCGAAAATGCCTCCAGTGAGTTAAATTAGATTTTAATATCTAATTAATTATTCGTAAATTATATCTTACGTAATACTTTTTCAAATTTTTCATAAATATGATACGTATCTCTATGCATTTAACAAGTAACACGTACTTCAGCTAAAACTAAAAGTTGTTAATACTACGTAACGTGCGGAAATTTTTTCGTATCATAGCTCGGTGTCCGATATTTTTATTTTTATTGACTCTAAAACTTCGTAAAGCCTTAAGCAATAAATTATCATTAAAACCTGAAAATACAGTATTAGGATTTTCGTTTTTCCAGTATCATCGCGAACATGACGGGCATGCGAAGCTCTTTTACACGCAATTTAATTTATTAAACTGCAATTATCTACAGTTTGATAAACTACTAGTTTCACCGTAGACCTCTTACGCTCATATTATGAATATACGACATTCTGTCACATTATCGCACACTGCGACCTTTCGATTACTGAGAATAAATACGATGAGCCCGATAAACCCTGATCGCATGCACCGCGCTGGATACCAAACTGGAAATTACGCAATCGAGAAAATAGCGAAGCCCGTTGATTCTATAATGAAAATTGATAGTGTGTGACGGAGGCCGAATTTTGAGAGTGCAATACAATCGGGAGTCAATAATTATACATTTTTTTATCGGCACTCGAACACTTGCGCTACAAGTATTTAATAACGCACTCGAGTCGGCCGAGTGGCCGAGTGGATTTATTAATCACCATCCATTATATGATATTTTTCTATAAACTGCGAACTTTTAACGGTACAGATATTATTTAATTAAACACCGATTTGGCATCGGGCGGTATACTTGAGGTTTAGAAAAGAAATGATTTTGTTTCATTGCCATTGTCATTGCATTGATATCGCTGAAAGGGAAGTTCTATATTCACACGGATACATACGAATCAACGTTTCACGAGAATAAAAGGAAATTTACATGTGGAATTATCGACTTGCAGCAGTTTTTGTGTAGAATAACGCACGGACATATAACGTAATAATGGAATAAATGGTGCACATGTTGAAGAAACAAACGGAAAAATTCGTCATGTTCTTCAAAATTTCATAACGAAATTCGCAAATTTGGACTCTGATTTTTCTGAGAAAGAGCGAATGGCAAATTGTCTTTGGTAGAATAGCTTTGTTGGCTTATTTCCTGAATTATCTTCTAAATTAAATATCACATACAGTTCCCAATTAATTCTTTTAAATTGTTTGGCCCATACGATTATGCATAATTTCTGCTATATGAATAAAAGCAGGGCGGGATATATAGATATGCATTATCATACTACAAACATGATAGTGCGTTTAAATACATTACGGAATGTAATTATTTTTCAGAGTAACGGTATTAATAATTCGCAATTATAAAACATGGAAATATAAAGGTCACTTTTACTATTATTCAATTATATATTTTAATATTTTAATATTATATTTAATAGGTATTTTTCAATTTGTCCGCGGATTTTTTGGTTTATTTCTTAAAAATAAGAAAAATTTGTTTGAGAAATTCATATATACTTGATCAAAATCTATTACATTCGCTTCTTTTTGTAAAGAAGATAATTGCGTGCACTGAATTTAAGAGAAATTAATATTAAGCAATATTAATAATTATATTTTTTTTAAACAATAATATTTTAACTTCAAAAAATTACAACTGAATACATTATGATCAAACTTGTAATTTACAATATATAAAAACATAATGTCATTAATATATAATTTTTTCTAAATCCGTGTCAATAAGAAACAACTATGTTATTTTCTGTAATATAATTTTATACCAATTATATGAAAATTAACACGCTATTACAGAAAAGTATCCACTTTGTGAAAGTATTTATTTAAAAAATAAGGGACTTTATCTATAATATTCTCTAATTCTTGTCTATTTTTATTCTACAGTCTTTTTCCTTAAAGTTTCATTTTTCTTTTTATTTATGATAACGTAAAATGTGCGAATCAAAAAGCGACTCACACATAAATAAATAAAAACAATGTTAATATACATATAATAATTTTATAGCAGAAATGGAATCTTATAACTGAGGAATAAACAAATATTCTGAAGCAATGTTTACTATTTTTTTTCATATATGCCACTTATATATTTTAAGAACCGAAATATATTATTAAAACATTTGCTACGTCTTTAATGAAATTTATGTTTTTAGCAAGATATACTTTACTGACATATTTGGTGCATTAAAAACATAGCAAAATTGAAAAGAATTTATACACACAAACACACACACATACACAAATGGTGGTCTATTTTAATCCCTCCAGCCGAATATTTTGAAAACTAAGACTGGCAGATAAAAATGGGTAAAACTGCAGTTTAGGGGAGTCAGTTGCAATGACCTTGACATATGTTACAATGGTCACCCTCCTGAGTAACCTTCAAGTTTTAGCCGTCGATCATTAAAAGCCGTCGTTCGTTAAAAACAAAAAAGTTATTAACAAAAAAAGTTGCATAAAATGAATGTAATTTTTGGACATCGTATATACAAAAACATCGAATTTGTAGGCTAGCAAGGTGCTTGCTTCTAGCACACACACACATATACACTTGCCCGCCCGCGCGCTCGCCCGCTCTATAGAGTGCATATGTCCTATTATATATACATACGCACCCACCGCGAGCCCACCCTGTCGGGCGGGCGAGCAGTGTATGTGTGTGTAGCAAACATTTTCTTAGCTTACAAGTTCGATGTTTTTGTTTACGGTTTCCAAAAATTACATTCATTCTATACAACTTTTTTGCTCATAACTTTTTAACAAACAACGAGCGACGGCTAAAACTTTTTGCATGTTACTCAGGACGATCGCCTCTATAACATATGGCAAGGTCAAAGTCATTGCAGCTGACTCCCCTAAACTGCAGTTTTACCCAAAAATGTTTCAGACAAAAGTAGCATGATTATACGGGACACATAAGACGGTGACAATGAGTTAACCTTGAATAGTCGTTTGAAGGTGACGTCAAGATCATCTTCAATTTCTTAAATAAGAGCTCTTATTTTTTGTTGCACATTCTTGTAGCTTATATCGAGTTTCCAAAACACTATAATTAAATATTATTTTGTTAACAATTGTCTGAGATATTTAACATATTGTCGTGACATTTTTAACGAGTCCCTTTGCCTCTCATGATTCAGGATGCTTAATTAACGTGAGTCTTCTTACCTCTCACGATTCGGGGTGCTCGATTAACGTGAG